TAAGTGCCTCTGGTGACACCAAGATGATGGATCTAGTCTGTCATGGGGTGCGCATGCTGCAGGCCAGGGACGGTCGCAGCTCCCCTGCCATATGTTAGCCCTGAGTGGGCAAGAGGGTGTGACCGGGCCTTAGGCACACTGAGGCAAGATTACCGATTACAAGTCACGCCATAGCTGACGATCAAAAACATTTTACTATGATATAACAGAGTATCCTATGTGATTGGCTGGCAAATAGTCAAGGGTGTATCATGGTTCTTGTCCAGTCAACTGGCGTAGCGCGACCATAGCGAGGACAAGTGCTATTGAAAATGGATGGACGGATTGGATAGAGTTTTGAAGTACTACAATATAATTGTCAGATGTGAGTGTACGCCATATGAGGCAAAGTTGGTTTAAAGATGTACAGAGACAAAAACATATTTATTTTTTTACCTCTCAGGAAAATTAGAAAATGAGCTCGAAGGATGGTCATGTCTGAAGTGACAATATACATCTCAGTTCTCCATTTCAGGTCTTGCAGTTGTTGAGCCATTTTATCGAGATCACGAAAAACCCCCAAAAACATCTTGAAATACATTCAATGCATACTTAATAGTTCGCTTTCAAGTGGCAATAGCTAAGAGTGACTATTATGTTTAAAAATGTAATGTCAGATTTCATCTCAGGCAATATTAAGACCAAATAATCCGCAGGTCTCTTATCTTATAAATCTGCATTTGAAGAGTCTGCACTGCATAGGTTTAGTTGCTTGAGGAGTGATTCAAACTCAGATAAAGCTCGGGTCTGAAAACCGGAGCATGCAGGATTAGTGTTAAATCTAAGATTGCAGCATTCACTTGTAAAACGATAATCCATTCCAGGACCAAGACAATCAGAATGATCCCTAAGGGCAGATACTGTAGGTATTGGATACAAGAAGTGCATAGATGATTATAAAAAAGGATGGGTGAAACACACTCCAGTTACCAGGTTATCCACAATAAAAGATTATTGACACATGGGGATCTATGCACATTTGTAAACAGTGCAGCTGCACTCGAGTGTCAAAAGTGGCGTATCCTTGTTTTGGAATTTGGTTCACACACAATACATAGAATTGGGGTAGAAGGCGGTCTCCAAGTGTTTACTTTATATAATCCGCTCATGAAGATCTGCTTACCGATCTTTATGAACGGACATTGCACACCTCGACTTGCCGCAGGACTCGAGCAAATCAGTGTCTTCTGCTGCCAGGCCGAGGACTATCAGCGTGCCTCTCACAGGTGGCATTTAAGTTGGCTGTGTTCACACCCACAACGGTGTAAAATGCCCTTTTTATAATGCGCCATGCTGCACCGGCTTGCACAGGTCTGAGAAAATAAAACTTTGTCTCTCCCACTCCTGTGGAGGATGCCACTGCGGCACACACCAGACTTGCAGTGGACACGGAAATAGAGCCCCGTGGTGTCAGATTTGATGAAAGGGGACAACAGAATACAAAAATTCTTGCAGTATTTTAAATCTTGTCTATCCCTGGGACTTGTGTACAGGCCAGGACTCTGCCGTTCATCTCAGGGATGAAGATCAATCACTGTCAAGAGCTCTCACTGGCTGCACCAAATAAGAGCATTCTCATTTTCTTGTTGCTTTTTTGTTTGTTTGTTAGAATTTGATTAAAATTTGACCATAAGTAAAGTCAAGTGGCACTGGAATTTTTCTTAGGCAAATAAAACACACACACACACACACACACACACACACACACACACACACACACACACACACACACACACACACACACACACACACAGTGCATGCCTTTGTATATAGTATGAAGAATGAGCTGCAATGCTATTGGTCTTTTAATTATCGGTATGTCAAAAGGTTGAATACTCAAATAACATGAAAATCCATTCTTAGTTTTTGGGTGGTAAAGTGTCTAGCTTTCATCTTGTGAATATCTTCCCAGGTGAACCAAAAGGTGTAAGGATTTATGGTAATAAAGCATAAGTGGACACAAGGGGTTTGAAAAGAACAATGTGAATTTCATGGTTTGCATGAGACAAGGCCCACTGAATTCAATAATAATGATAATAATACTCAACAAAAATTAAAAACCTCAAATGCGATTTCAAAAACATTTTAAGGGGCAATGGAAATATTAGCAGGGATGCTCGAACAAGTACTAATAAATGACAAACACTTTAATGGTAAAATGTGTCATACATTTCCTGATAGAAGATTCCTCAAAGTAATGTTGCAAGGTTTAACCTAAAAGATCATTGACATTTCAATACACCTTGTTGGTTTTTGTTTCTGTCATTTAACTGTTCCTGTAATGTGATTTCTCTCAAGGATTGTTGGATGTATTGCGACTACAGAGACCTAAGGTTTTGTGACAGGAAGAGTGAAAAGTTGTTGTAATTGCATCTCACATTTAAAGGCAAGAAATATAATACATTGGAGGGCAAATGAATGAATGCAACAATCCCTTAACTGAATGTGAAACGTATTAACTGTTGCCATAGTCTCATTGGGGCCAGTGATGATAAAAATTGTATCATGTGAAGATTGTTTAAGGACCAAAAATCCGTGAATTGGAATGGCCATCAGAGGAGGGTTGAACCAGTTGGAAAATGCTAAAAATGAGACCCATTCTTGAGTAAGGACTCTGAATGCATCTCTTTGTACACAAGCCAGACACAATGCAATGTCCTGAGACTGAAACGTCCCACTGCAGGAGCTCTCAGCGGAAAGGTCGTCGGGTAGAATCAAAGCACAGACAATGACATCTCCCATTGCACATTTTTTTTGTATGCCTCATTCATCTCGCTGCCATCATTACAGAACACCTCTTTAATCAAATGAATCAACTCAACGCTCTCTTTAGTACAAACAGACAACACCATTATCCTAATTTGGTTTTATTGATCAATCAAACCCCGATCTGCAACTTCATATGCATGGTGTCTAGAATGAATTAATGAAGAATACTCAGCCTTGTAAGAGTGATGCACCAGAATCCGTATTTTAAACCTCAATAATCTGTCAATTTCAACCCATTAACCATTGTGGATAGAATACTTTGGACATTACAAAATGGGTAATATCCTTAGAGGACATTGGAGTCATGAAATAAACTGAAAATTAATTTTCTTACAGAAGCACCAAAACGGTATTCCGTAAACTGGTTTGTGGGTTCGGCCTTTAATATCACAACATGATAAATCCACATTAATGACCTAAACATGTTCTACTGCATATTTGAAAATGACACCTCCACTCCCCACACCGGCCCACCTCCACACCAGCAAGTACCTGACTCACACCTTCGGACAAGGGCAGGGAAAAGGTCACCGCCTCGTCCAGCTCCTCTCCTCAGGTAGGCACTATCGAATCACGCACTCCAAAATCAGCAGACATGAAAAACAGCTTCTTCCATCTTGCCATCAACTCCCAAAGCAGGTGACTCAAATACCATCGTGGCACTTTCCAAATGTTTGCCAATTTTGTACTTATCAAGGTAGCTTCAGCTCTCAACAAACGTGTTGAACTGTTATTGATCAATATTCCACAGCGCGAGACACGTTAAAGTTCTCAAAGGCTTTATGCATCACCGCACACCCAAAGTTGCAACACAATTAGCCTCCTGCTACTGGTCACTTTAAAAGGTGGCACGATTATCTGCATCATCTGCACCACCGTCTCAATAGTATTGCCATTACCGCATCGCCGCTCACTTTATCTTTACTAGATAACTCTCTGCATTGTTGCACAGCTGTAATTGGGTGCTAGTACTGCACAAATGAGGCCTTTACATTACGAATGTACTTATGTGTCATGTCTTTGTTTGTCGAAGTTGCTTGTTACCGCAATACTAGTGCAGCTCATACTATCGGAGACATATTGCTTGTGTGTTTCACATACTTGACCAAAAAAAAGATCATTATATAATCTTTCTTTTCTAAATTAATCAAATGAATCTGGTGAATTGCTGTCATCGCATCACCCGTTCATTTATTCATCCAGTCAATTTCTATTCCATTTATCTTGAATTGCTGGTGAGCTGAGGAGTATTTTTGCTGACTTCGGGTGAGAACGGGCGGCACCCTGTACTGCTCATGAGCCAATCACATGGCACGGAAAGAGAACCAAAAATTCACAGCAGCCTCCTCACATTCACAATTAAGGAAAATATAGTCAAATCTGTAAACACTGTAACTTAGAGATTTGACAGAACATCACATTGCTTTGAAGCGGTGGCTTTCCGTCATTTTCAAAATCTTCTAATATCATATCTATCTCGCCTTTAAGACATTCACAATGACACTTCAGATTTTTGGGGCTTCATAAATAAACAATAATGAGTCGTGAACATAATATCTGAGACACTGTTAACGTAGCTTAGTAGGAGCTGGTGCTTTGGTTAGGATTGGGTCAGGCAGTCCAAAAGGGCCCAGGAGTTAACGTTGCAGTTGTACTTACAGTATGAACTGAGATACCATATTTTCCACACTATAAGGCACACCTACAGGCATTCAACTTTCTCAAAAGCCGACAGTGCGCCTTATAATCTGATGCGCCTTATATATGGATCAATATTCTGATTTATTGGATGTAGTATTTTAAACGTTCTGTAAAGCGCCTTCTTACAGCTGCAGCGGTTGTAAAAGCGCTATATAAATAAAGCTGTATTGTATTGTATTCCCTTTAGCATAGCTCCATCTAGTGGACGCATAACGTAACCTCAGCCACGATTGAGGTTCTATTCCATGCGCCTTATAATGCGGTGCGCCCTATAGTGTGGAAAATATGACGATTACAGCAGCTGTTTTCTTTCCTGAATGGCAAAAAGAGCCGTCTGATTGAGGAATGGTACTTATTTCTCTCAGGTGGAGTGCAAAATTTGCGAATGTACAGTATTCTGCCATCACATGGCAAATGGACTTGATGCGCACGTTCGGTGCAATTGGTGTCTGAACAGCTATTTAAAAAGAATAATTCAAAGACCAACTTACCTGCTGAGGCTCTCGTGGTGTCGTCTGTTTGACTCGGCGACTGGATGCAGTGGTGGTGGTGAGCTCCATTATAGTTGTGGATGTTTCGGACCGATTGGCTGTAGTACTTGACTGTGGAGTTATAGGGGAAGGCGACTCCCCTACAAGCCGCGCACTGCCTTGGATCTTAATGTTGGGGTCTCCCTCTGCGGCCATGTTGAACACTTTCAGGCCATTATAGTAGAGGCCTGAAAGCTGGCCCTGAAAGGATCTAGTCCGGTCTCGCTCCCAGCCACCAATCTGTATAGTTGTTTGGCTGTTGAAGATAGTCAGCTGCCGCCCTGTGGGAAAACAACGTTACATATACAAATCTGTTGGAGTGTAGACATTGTAAGGACACAAAAATAACAAAAAACAAAAACAGTAATAAAATAAAATAAAAAAGACAAGGAGACAAATTACTCGCCAGTGGCTAATGAGACCAATAAATTACGGGTTGTAGAAGCAAACCCTAGCAATTTATTGCAGTTACTATGATGACATGCCTGCTTTATGAAAAAACAAAAAAAAAATACAAAAAATACAAAAAAGCAGCTTTGCTAAAAGGTTAGTCCCATGAAAAAACGTGAAATATTACTGCTATATATTAAGGAATACAATACAGAATCTATAGATACATCGTTTATAGAAACAAATAATGCATTCATATTTGTTTCTATAAGCAGGTTTTTACTTCAAGTTTTAAGATTTAAGAACTTGGAACGGAGCAAGCATGGAAATTGTTCGTGGCATTCCAGTAGGAGGCATCCAGACTCCTTTTAGCAAACGCGAGAAAGAATAGTCAACTGAATAAGGTTAATTAAGCATGGAGAAAAAACACAAAAGTACATACCAAAAAGAAAAATGTGCGATGGCAGGTGATTAGAGCAAAATGACCAAAGAAATAAAACATAAAGGGGGTCATTTCACATTTTATGTGAAAAATATGAATAGGTTATTACATTGTAAAATCAAAGCATGCACACACTTTATTTTAATGTTACAGTTCACTGATATAAAGCACCTATACATCTTAACAAAATATGTTAAAGGGACTTCAAAATTCTGACGCCAATTCATCTTGTTCACTATTTATAATTTCTGGCACTTTCATCACACAAAAAATGAAAAGGCAAAATCGATCAAAAATATATATTTTTAAAAATCACATTGTAAAAACAAACAATTATACTAAATACTAAATTTATAGTTATCATTTAGAAGTTTACAGCAATAGGCTACTACAATTTATAGACATTTTAACAATGTTGAGATTTAAATTCATATTTATAGTCCCTTTAACCATAATTTCACACACGTATTAACAAAAAAAAACTGACTACAAAATAAATACATTATTGAACAGTAACATTATATTGACTATTCAAATCATTTATTTTATTCATGTTTTATTTTAGGTTTAGTGTTTACAAAATATTGCAACAACTTAGTTATGATCAAATTACTCTATTTGAAATTTTAACCAGTGATTTTACCTTTGTCGAGTAGCCATTCGTCAACTACTCGACCAAGTCGGAATGGGATTCGCTGTCTAGCAATCGCCAGGCGTTCGTTATCATTGTTGCCTTTAAAGTTTAAAGAGACATTTCAGTGGTTACAATCTGTCAGGTCAAAGGTTAAAGGTTCATACTGGTATAGCGAAACAACTGCACATTTACATGTTTTATATTGAAAATGTTTAAATGATTCGTCACAAATATTTAATAAACCATTATTTATACCAACATTTAATTTATTTTATCCAACAAATTAGGACTACATTAGTTGAAATTAAATGGTTTCATCCTTTGGATCAATAAATCTATGTTAAAAAAAAACAAAAAACCCAACACATTTCACTGTCTTATCTCCAACACATTTGTCTGAACATTTTAAAATGCTTTTTGCTAGTTATGTACCTACCACTTTCAAAATAAACACCTCTTGAATTTATGTCACCCTTAGATCGTGGTTGTAAAAGAAAAGATACATCTAACACATTGCAAACACCAATCTTGTAATGAATAGCCTGATTGACCAAAATAAATGTCTATTGACAACATGTAGTGCATTGAATCATAAAACTCTTCAGTCAGAGAAAACAAATGTTGAGAGATCAGTATTGCATAGTTGGTCAATGCAATGGATTTGACAAAAAAGCTACGTGGATTAGTGACTGTCACATGTTTGGGTGGGAACAGTTGTTGCCGATCGAAAAATGTCATTTGGTAAAGAAGTGCCATGGGAGGAGAAGCAATATCCTAAAGCAACCTCCACTTTTACTTTGGAGGACCATTGGGCATAAATGAGGACAAACTCTGCATCAACCTTTTGTCAGGGCCGCTCACTCCACTCGAGCTAAAGAGTGAGTGCTTTCCCCTTTGCTATTGTCTGCCGAGATTGAATTCAGTCGGCGTCATTCTTCTTGCAGATTGACAATGTTTGTTCCATCAACTATATTAATTCACTCTGTGCAGATTAAAGATCTGGTAGCTAACAATGCTTGGAGGTGAATAGCCTCTGAGGAGACTGGAACACAGAGACCTGGGGGAAAGGAAGGGCTTGGTGGTTAAAAAAAAAAAAGACATTTTTCATCACATCAGCTTGAATGACTACAAAGGTGAAAGCGATTTAAAACTTGTGGATTGAGTTCATTGAATTTGGCAGCAGATTGTGTCAAGTTGTCACCGGTTGTTTATTGGAATGTTTCTGGTTTTTAAGAGGTACATTCGTTATTATAGTTAATGCTGAGCTACCAAAGAATTTAATTCTTACATGGCTTGAATAAATACATAAATAAACAACATGGACAAACTGGTGTTAGTTGTTAAATGCTGGTGTGCATTCTGTATACTGTACATCATAATCTAAAATGTGTATTGTGATTAATATTGCACTTGTGAAATAAAAAGGAGATAGTCATCCATTTTCGTCCACCTCGGACGACCGTATTCTACACCCTCTGTCTGCTGTTGACGGAAATTAACGGCACAAATGCTATCGCGTTTCCATTGCAAACGTCACGTGACCAAATCCGGAAAACAGGGTAGCGGTGTTATGGTGCAATAACTAGCATAACTATGGGTTGATGATCATGTCATAATCAAAACAAGCACAGTTTAAATCACTGCGATGTTAATTTCAGTCGACAGCAGAGTGTATGTGGATAACATGTCCCCTGAAATGGATGAAAGTTGATGAAATAATCAGTTTCATTCTGAGTCCTGAGTTTCTTTAACAACATGTCTATTTAGTCTACTGTATTTATTTGCTGTTTCCAAATTTGAAAATATTATGAGTTTGGGGCGGGGGATCACAGACGAACTCACAATGTTTATTTCAGCAACAATAACGATACAATTACAATTGAGCAAATAAGCAGAAATGAAGCATCTATCGCGATAGAGAAAAAAGGATAACTCACACTTAAGCAAACAAAAATAAAGACAGACGCAGACTGTAACACACAGACACACTCTTAGCCATGCACGCAGATAATCTCTACTTGTGTGCAAAATCATGTTCTCTGTTCGGCACGCTACCAGTGTGGCTGGGTGCCAAATGTGGTCAGTCTCATACAAGGGTCAATTAAGAGAACATAATCACGTTATGATAATGTATTGATCCCTACTGTGGCACATGAACAATGCCATCCGCAGGGCTGCAGTATAGTCCATTCATTAGGCCACCACAGAGAGCCTGTGACTGTTGCCGAGTGGTGATTTGGTTTTGTATGAGATGGCCAAGCTTATCTATTTTTCCAGACAGCGGCGATTCAGCTGATCCGTCCCAAATGACCTGATTGGGTCTGATTCGTTTCTTTTTGTCTTTTGGAACAAAGTTGTCAGTACGATACAGATACTGGGACCTTTCCTCCATCAGTGGAACCAGAACACGTGAAAGGCAAAGCCAGACAAATCTCACAATTTTTTGGGGGGGGATTAATCAATTGCCATTTTTGCCCACGGTGTCCATTGTACTGTCTTGAACGCAGCCGGAGCAGGATCATGGACAGAAGAGAGACAGAAAAAAAGTGCATCTTTTATTCTTTGAAAAAAATAACCTCCACCTCCAACCCACTCTGTATCCTGCAAATCAGACTCCCTACTGCAAGGTGGGGGGGGGGGGAATCGACCAGTGGGTAAGATGGACAGAGGTGGCAGAGGTGGTCAGCTTGACGTAAAAGGTACAGGGTGAGTTGGAACTGAATGCAGCGGGAGTCATGTAAGTGCACTGTGTACTGATAACAGTAAAAAGAATAAGGCCAGGCTGGGACTTCTCTATTATCTTTGTGTGCACTGCATGCTCAGTGGGTACCGTAATAGGATGCTGCATGGTGCCCCGCGGGCATGGCAACACCATTGTGTTGGTATTACTTTCATGGCCAATACTCTGGAGAAGAAGCCCTTTTTTTCCCCCCTTTCTTGTTTTGGTTGCAGCCCAGCCTTTTGTGTGTGGCGTAAAGCAGAGCAAGAATAAAAGCAAGAACTGCAGCAAACAGAAGGGTAGTTACGCGTCTACGCGTGAGCTTTGAATTTTAGATTAGAATAATTACGCGAAAGATTTTTAATGGGCCCTCTTAAGTATGGAGGGTGAGAGTTTTTAATGAGATTTCAATGACAGCAATATAAGCCCTGGTGGGACAATTATTGCCTTACTTTCAATGATTGCTCACTCAGATGCAATCTGCACCTTTCTCTTGTTGAGCTTTCCAACCATCATTTGTGCTGTCAGCTTTGCTCTATTGTAGGAACTGTTGATCTGTGAGTGGCCGAGGCCAAGGGCTACTATTATGAGTGTATTAGCGGCATACATGGATACTTGTCAAACGAAAGACGGGCTGAGTGAATAAAGGCTTTCTGTGATGGAGGTGAAGGGGGGAACTGGACAGCAATTGCAATTTCATGCACTTAGTGTGCAATGAACCGAATGAACTTGCTAATTTCGAGATTTAAAAAAAGAGAACCATAGGTCACCAGCATGTTTCAAAACACTTGGCTAAAATTTTCAATGACAAAAAAATAGTTTTCAGTTGATAGCCACAAATTTGGGCCACCGTGGAAACTCTTAATTTGACTGCCTCAAAGGTGGAGTAGTTCAGGATTTGGAAAGTGGACGCCCCTCCGTGAGCCGTCACGTTACCGTTGTGGAGGCGTTTGCGTGTCCTAACGATCCTAGGAGCTAAATTGTCTGGGGCTTTATGCCCTGGGCAGGATTACCCACAGGAAACAGGTCCTAGGCGAGAGACCAGACAAAGCACGGCTCACATATCTCTCACGATGAGTAATAACATTGAAACCGATTTTCCCTTGCCCAGATATAGGTCAGCGGGTCTCCCCTTTGGAGCCAGGCCTGAAGGTGGGGCTTAATGGCGAGTGCCTGGTGGCTGTTTCTGCGCCCATGAGGCCTGACCGGGCACAGCCCAAAAAGACAACATGGTTCCCTCTTCCCATGGGCACATCACCTGTGGGAGGGGCCAAATGTAAGGAATGCCCTCGAGCAGAAGAAAGATTCCTATCGGCCTTTTTTGGCCAGTGGGATTCTGGAAGCAGCTGACAGATCCCGGATACAAGTGGCCGAAACGAGTTTACTCCGCAGGGTGTCCGGGCTATACCTTAGAAATAAGGTGAGAAAGTCAGCAATGTGGAAGGGGCTCAGAATCAAGTCGCTTGTACAATGTTTGCTGTTCCAGGATTGACTATTCACCCTGCGCCGTGCTTTCTCCCCCGTCTGCAACATGTCAAAAGTATTCCCGTCCATGTTTTACCCGAGGCGAGCAGGATGAAATGAGTACATTTGACCATCTTGCTTTTGGATGGATGCCACAGTCATTGCTAAAAAGGTCAGTAAACATTCTCGGGTGGGGGGACAACAAAAAAAAAAAAACATTTGTCCTACTGCCCAGACATTTAATTCACTCTCAGACTCAAACATCTTGATTTGGAGCTGGAGAGCACATTCTTTGGGTGCTCATATTTCGATTCAAAATTTGAAGTAGAGCATCAGGATGAGTCCACTGTATGTTGGCGCAAACTAAGAATTTGACATTCATTTATCCACAGTAGCTTTTGTCAAAGCCTTATGCAGTTCATGTCGTACAATTATCAAGACTGCGACATTTCAAGACATTTACAGTAAATGCATTCATGTTATTGACATGTACAGACTTCACAGAAAAATACCAGTGTTGCTGGCTCCTTCCTTAGCCAAGGAATCCATTCAAATTATGTCAACGTCATGCAAAACACACAACAGGTTCAGCAATTATATACATAGAATTCAATTTCATTTAATCGTACTGTTGCACTATAAACTCTCGATTAACATTTAAGCATTGGTAACACACTGAACGTAGCATGTAGGCAGATTTTAATCTACATACTCTTATTAGTTCCACTGTCAAGAGCGTGGGTGGCGTTTGGGTAAAGTTGTATTTGATAAGGGGGGGGAAAAAAAAACAATGTTAAGAAACCTTGATGTGCAGAAGGTGATTAAAGCATTATGAAAACACTGGTATTATTCTACACAGCTGCTGGAAAGAGAATAACCAAAAAGATTACATAATCATAACAAGTGCAGTTTGAAATCATTTGCTTGATCGTATTTTAGTCAACCTGAATTAGCAAATGCATGCGACTAGAGGGAGAGTGGGTCACTCACCTTGGGGGTAGCGCTCAATGACGGGTAGATCGTCCAACTGGAGAGTGGCATTACCCCCACTCCTTGTAAACTTGACTATGTGGTATTTTCCATCGTTTACAAACTTTGACGTCTCCTCTATGTTAATGTCATCTGTTCCAACATTAAACACAACAGCAATGTTTCCTCTTTCCTGGAACAAGAAGAACACCAAAATGCAACAGGTTAGAGAGATTTCAGTTTTACAAAATGCCCTCTACTCTATGTCATGTCATGTTATTTATATATACTGTAATCACTGTGATTTAATTGGATAATATAACATCACAAAAATCAGGAATGGCTTGTATTCCGTCCTCTCAAACAATAAAATGCAAGTAGCCACGAAAGTGTCCACTACGATGGACTTTTGATTACGTTTCCTTGTTCGTCTATAGGGAAAATTAACGATCAATTAATCATTTCTTTTTTAGTATTTAGTGTTGAAAGATGTGAAAACCTCTCTCTCTCTCGCTCTCTCTCTCTCTCTCTCTCTCTCTCTCTCTCTCTCTCTCTCTCTCTCTTTCTTTCTTCTGAAATTCTGTCAGCATTGTATTGAGCAGAATGATGCTGCCCAGAGGAGGTTTTGGTGAGTTTGGCTTAACTGTTTACTTGAATTAAGCCAAATGCTGCCTGATTATTAACATAATTATTATCAATAATCAATTCCACACACAAATAATAGAATTGTAAATGGGCAGTTAATAATCTTGTGTTGTTTTAAAAAAATGCTGAGTAAACTCAAAATAAGTTTTGCTGTTGTGAAAATTGGCTTTCCCGTATTTCACAGCAAAGAAATAAGAGAAGCAAACAACTTTGTTGCTTTGTTGTGCCATAAATGTCAATTATTTATATTTTAAAGTTCTTACAATGGAAAGTAATGCTTTAGCCCAAAATAATACAAGGTCTGTTTTTTTATAGGGTAGTGTGCACCTCAGCTCGTATTTCCGTTGTCATTTATATTCAGTGGGAAATCTTTTTAAAAAACAAAAACAAAACAAAAAAAACTTACAAATTCAAATAGACATAAATCCATGAGGTGGAAAAAATAAAACATGGCTGTCATGCCTATAATTTGTGCAATACGAATGGAATCACTTTTGTTTTTGTTTGGCTTCTTGTCTATTTAGGGTGAAACGATACACTGCTGAGAATTAAGAGGAAAAGTAAGTCTCAGTGATGTTTAACTTCAGTCTGCTGATTTCTACATGAGGCAAGACGCTTGAACAATTTATGATTCCAAGTTGTTAATATTTACTGCTTAATCAATTTTCAATGAGTGTGCATGCGAGTGCAAGCCCTTCTCTCCTCTTTGGAGATTCGATGAAATGAGCATCTGGTTGGAAGCTCAACCTATCGTAGAGCTGCAGCACTCTGCATGTCATTATCCAGTCAGCACAGGCAACACAGCTCTGCATCTCAATCTCTTGCCATAACTCTGTCAAATAAAAAAAAAACAGAAAAAACAACTACTTTCCAACACCCCCTGCTCTTTGTTCTCTTCAAGTTGGGACAATTCAGACCTTCTCTAAAAAGGCAAAAAAATGAGAGTACAATCAATATCTTTAATTCCATTCATGGTAATGTCCAGATTGTCTAACCTTATGGAGTACCGTATTTTCCGCACTATAAGGCGCTTCGGAGTATAAGGCGCACTTTCAATGTATGGCCTATTTTAAAACTGTTTTCATATGTAGGGTACACTGCATTTTAAGGCGCATGAGAAGAGAAGCCACAATTGTGGCTGTGGTTGCGTTATCCATCCACTAGATGGAGGTACGCTAAAGGGAATACAATACAATACAGCTTTATTTATATAGAGCTTGTGAGAAAGCGCTCTACAGAACATTTAAAATACCTCGTCCAAGAAATCAGAAAATTGATCCATATATAAGGTGCATCGGATTATAAGGCACCCTGTCGGCGTTTGAGAAAATTGAATGCTTTTAGGTGTGCCATATAGTGCGAAAAACACAGTAGTTGTATGATTCACTGTCTCATGTGAGGAAAAATAATTCACAAAAGCTAACGTAGTAGGCCTTGTGTCATGCTAGTGATGATTGTCAGACATTGATGTGGCAGTTAAACCTTGCCGATGAGTTAATTTGCGTCAGGTTGAGTGATTTGCGCCGCAAAACCCTTCAGAAAATGTCCCTGAGACAGCAGCTGTGCAGTGAGCAGCACCCTCCCGCATATTATCATTTAAAAAATTTAGTCCAAGACAAGTATCTATAAGAGATAACAACAAGAGATCCTTCTTAGACCTTCAAAATCCAGACATATTCATACTGAACTTCTTAGTAACAGACAGTCTTCAGGGATGAACTCAATTAAAATCCTACTTTAAATAGCTCCCTCCAATGTAATTTGAATGCTTCCTGTGGCCTTGTTAAGATTAACAACTTAAATGTCCTTCATACAACAAAAGACTGACATCTGATATCGAGACATATTTTAAGATGAAAGCTAAACGCTTGAGGATGAGCGACGAAACAGGTAAGCACATGCTAGTTCATCTCTGACCTCACAAAACAACATGCTCCAACATCTTGTTGAAAGTCTTGCCAGAAGAGTGGAAGATGCTCTATGTGCATGGCTGACTCCATGTTTCATTTTTTTTTTCAATTACAGCGATTGTCCTTCAACTTTTGCCCAGAACATAGATTTAGAGACATTGTTCATCCATTATGCTGTTTCTCCTTCCAAACAAGCCTACACATGATGTGCACAGTACATCGGAAACATTCTCTATTTATATCATAATATTAAAAAAAAAAAAAAAAACTATTCAAATTGGTTGGACTTAAACATGCAGTTCCATCATCTGCTGAGAGGATCCCAATTCTGGAGCTTAAATATCTCATGGGCTCATGTCAAAGTGATTGATAGCTGCTTATATAAACCACGGCCATACTGCAAAATCAGGGCTGCTCACTTGTGCTGCCTCATGGGAGCATACTGTATGGCGCATACATACCACACCCAGAAAATTTAGCCTTGCCTGACACATTCTTCAAGGCGTCTTGATTAATTGCTCATCAAGCCGCAATAGAGTTTAATTAACTGACGAAGCTGGTCCACTATTCTCCTCTAATCTCGTCTCTGTTTCTTAATGCTTCTTATCCTCGCAGCTGGAGGGTGGACTAGCTGCCGTAATCTTGGGGGTGTCAGTCGCTCGTTAAATGTACCCGTCTGCAGTCATTATACAACCCTAGGCATCGTTGTTTTAGGAGTAATAAAGCTGCTAAAACAGACACTGCAGACCAAATGCTGGAGTAGCGGCGTTTCTTTCTTCCGCCAATGCCAACAAAAGCATACCAGAACTACTGCATCCTACTCTTTATTAAAGGTAATGCACATACAAGTGGTAGATGTAAAAGGTCAAACAAAGCACGATATAAACCATGAACTGTTTACTGCACCCATTGTTTTGCCCATTCTCCAAAGAAGATGGAAATGTAAATGGCCATAGTGTTCTCCCCATTTCCTGCAAAATATGAATAGCCTATGTCGGTGCTCATTTAGAAGTCGTTTATGATGACCATGGCTATGCTTGAGACATATTTTATAGCTCGTCAGCCCAACGCCACAGGACTGCAAACCATCATTCTACACTGCACGAGCCTCTGAGGCTCGGTTGGCAGTTGGACGAGCACCTCTGCCATCCCTTAAGTACGTCTTTGTGTGCATCTAATGTATGTGCACACGAGCAGGCTGACTTGAGGGAATATTATGATCTCACTACAGAGGCTAAATGTCTTCGTGTAGCAAGGACATGCAGGCTATTCTCTCCACCTTATCTTTTAATTACCCCTGACGGTCTTCTCCTTCTCCCCTTTAAGCTTTGTTAATGAAATTATAGAGTTAATGGGAGAATTAGCTACAAGAAAATGACTCCCTCTTTTTTGGCGGCATGTATTTCTGCTCCAGGAACTGTACAGTATGCGTCATCCATACATCAGCATTGATGGCTCCACCAAAATGTTTCATATGACAGTGTAAACTGGAAGTCTGTCAACTATTGTATTGTTTCATCCAAAAGCCACAAAAGTGCCATATAATAATGATAATAATAATAATAATAATAATAATAATAATGACCATTTTCAACTTCTGTTCAATGAAGCAACACTTTATATGTGGGCATGTACTGTCTCATCACTCTTCAACATTCTGGTGAGCATATGATCAAGACATCATGTTGGCACATGGGATCAAGTCTCAATATGGCGTCATCACACGCGACTGCATCAACAAAGCAGCTCTCCTCATGCATTTGGGCGACCAAAGAGCACTGACAAAAAGACAAGTCGAGTCGATGGGCAGCGCTGATGGTCCTGTGCATCAGTTGTCATCTCCCATTAGATTTGCTGCTTCAGAAATGCCATAATAAAACAGTCATTTTGCAAAGCAAAACTATCTTATTTACTGCTTTGGTCATGAGATTATTGAAATCAAACAAAAAAGGGATCCTCGTGGAGCAAAGTTTAGATTCTGAAAATGGAAACCAAACCTGCTTCTCATCACGATGGTATCTCCAGTGTGCTGAGGTAAGAGTGCTGTGAGCGCAGCTCATTTCAAAATCAAAGCCACCGGCTAAAGTGCCTAATTATCTGTGAAGTTGGCCTGAAATTACTTCCATTGCTAGCAGACTTCATCAAACAACTTTTCTGCAGGAGAGCTTCATCAAATATCTTTTGAGTATCTTAGAGTTGATAAATCATCGCTCCAGCTGCATCAGCCCCGAAATGAGGACTCAAAGGGAATAACAGAAGATTTATACACTATTATCTACAGTCTATGTATAAATCATGAAGCATCGCTAAAGAGACGTAGCAACAACATACACGTAAGAAATAGAAAAATAAAGGAGAGAGTCGATAACAGAAGTTGGAGGAAAAAAGCCAGGAACTGCTCATCTCTTCCTAAAATGTCATTTGCTATCTCATAAGCCTTTTCTTTTGCTCCATCTTCAGCTCTGCAGTGACACATTCCATCAAGAGAGGTCAACATATATCTGGAATTTCATTCTGTCTCACTCAAAGAAATCAATTCAGGTTTAAGGTGATTCTGCTGTCTGTCCACTTGTGACAGCTGGCGAGCAGTCGGGGTGAGTCGACCTTCAGTTCTGTCCTCTCCACCGGGATTTCCTCC